AGTAAATTTTAAGTATACTATAAATATATTATATATTAATAAAATATAAAAATTGTTCAGTTCAAGCTCAAATAGTCAAATAGTACTATGGTAATTAGTAGGTAGCTTATAAGTACTTAGTTTAAAAGAAACATTGCATATAATATTGATGAATTTGTGAATTGATTTTAACATCTTAAAAAAGAAAATAATTTATATATTGACTTAACTTAATTTACAAAACACTTTATTTTGATAAAATAATTATACTTATAGTGAATTCATAGACATATATAAACAACTAGATGGTAAGGCCGACTTTGGCTTACCTATCTTTGAAGTTAAATCGCCATATGCCTAAACGGCAATGTTTACATTTTTATGTGATAACAATATTTGATAACAACAAAAATGTGTTTACAACTCGGTAGAAAATAGTAATTTATAATGGTTTTTTCCATTATCAATATTGTGTTATCACATAAAAATGTAAACACTGCCGTTTAGGGAAATGGCGGACAAACTTCAAAATRCTGTACAGTGTTTGGGGATAGTCGGCTATCTAGTTGTTTATATATGTCTATGAGTGAATTAAACCATTTTCTAAATAAAATTAATCATATCATTTATTTATCTCATATTTGAAACCTATCGGCTATCATATACAAATAATATTCTTACATTATTTATAATTTAAATTTAAACAAAAATATATAAATTAATTAAAACTAACATTACATTTAAACACAGGTATCTGTATTTATAAACTTCTACAGTGATTCAAAAATACTTAAGCCGTATTAAACATAAATAAAAAAAAAAAAAAACACACACACATCATTGTAAAATCAATACATTCATCACTTCGTTCAGAATCTAAAACTTAAAACAAAATATTGAAACAAAATATTTAAAAAATTAATAAAATATTTTCGGATGTATTATAGCTCCTCGTTTTAAAAAGAAGTACCTATATAGACTTAGTAAAAAATGAAATTATACAGATAAATAGRCACTAATGGTACTATTTAGAATTCAGAAACTTCTTATAACAACACATTGTACTACAATATACAACCAGAGACGTATTTAGAAATTTTACACCCCAGGTAAGAAAAAATAAATAGTTTATTAGTATCTGAGTGTCATTACCTACTTTTTTTTATCACCTAAATGGTTTCGATATCTTATTATATCAAAATGCAATCCAAAATTTAGCGCCCCTAAAAACTTACCGCACTGGACCCAAGCTCCTCCTGCCCCCCCCCCCTAAATACGTCAATGAATACAACATTACAATCACCACATTTATACTGATTTTTAATATTTAATTCTCCATGCTTATACGTAATTTTAATTTTCAGACATCTCTCTCTAATATCCCCCGTAAATACGCCATAAACAAATATTATTTTAGATTCGTTATAACGTATTGATATTACAATGATGTGTGTTTTTTTTTTTTGTGTCTATGTACAACTAAAATTTTCAATTTTACTAAAAAATTTTTTTGTAGTGTCGATAAAATTTTTTTGGCCCTATAAAAATACTTGAAATTTTAATACAAAGTTTCTCATAAGTTATTTTTATAGTGATTAAAAAATTATAAGAATACATATAGGCACAATTTT